AGGCATAGTAGGTCGTGGAAACTCAAAGGTGAAATCATTTCTCATCAGCCAGATATCAGCTGCCTGAAACAGCTCCATGTAATGTACATCACTGCCAAAATAACGATGGACAAAAGGTTTGTAATTTGAATCTACAATGAAAAAAATTTGGACACGAGATAAGATGTAGATAAGGACATTTTTGACCCTGTGAGCAAATGTCATCTTATCAGTTAGATCTGCTGTTGGTATTGGGACATAAGAAAGTGGGGAGGGTGCAATTGCTTCATGCCCTTCACCCTGAATAGTCCATCTGACATTATAGACAAGTGGAAGACCCAAACGGTGAGCTAGAAGTACTCCTCCACCAGTTCCAGGATCAGTGAGAACCAGATCAAATTTGGCATCGCGAAGGCTCTGCATCAGTTTTGTATTCTCAAATATTTCTTCCATTGTTTGAAGAACCTGTTTGTTCATCTGATGGAAGTGTTTTAATTGCTTGTATTCTGTAGAAAGGCGAGTCCATATGGAAGAGCCTTGGCGACGCATGTTTAGTGTTCTCATGATTAGTGACCCAAAGTTATGTTCATCAAAACCAGTTGAGGAAATTGTGATGGTCTTGTAGTACTGGGATTCTTCTTTGATGTACCAGGAATCAGAAGGCCGCATCACGGTCACCTCATGTCCTCTGGCGTGAAGCTCCTTTATCATAACATTCATGTTGACCCAGTGGCTTCCATCCAAAGGGAACACCAAGACTTTTCCTCCATTTACCAAAGATGATGAGGAGAGCAACACCACAAGTGTCAGCAGGATCAATTGGTACATCTCTGAAAGAAATTCTGACAGAAGATATAAGATGTTAGAGCTGTTCATTTAACAACAAAGACTCCTGTTAATTTTGACTACTTGGTTTCTGCAAATATGAACGGTCTTCTAAGACTGGAATAAAACCAATTTAAGAGAATAATCTGTCTTTCAGGAAAGTATTTACATTGAATAAATCTGGAATTTATTTATTTTTAATTTTTTTTGCTAGCTTTAACATATAGTTATGCCTACGAAAAAATTCCATCTAGCATTCTTTAACCAAAAGCCTGCAAAAATACCATGATGTGTCTGAATTGACTGATCTTGTTGCCAAGATTGATAACCTTTGCTGAACTTCTCATGTCATTTTTTCCAAGTTATTGTACTCAATGGAAACATACAGTAATTCACAATTTTGCCAAGTCCTGAGATAAATTAACAACTTGATTTGTACACTGGGTTGAACAAAATGGACAATTGCTGTCCCAAAACATCAAACCAGAGGATCCAAGTAGTTTCTATTTTATATTGATACAATGTAAATATTTCTAAACTTTGGTTTTAAAGTAAAATGTCAACATCCAAGATTCGTTGTCCAATCACAAACTAAAAATATAAGTTTTAGCTATTAAAGGGATAGTCTTGCCATTTCTGAAATAATGTTCTGGCAAATATTTTTCAATCATTAGTACTTTATCAAGGGCAGCACGGTGGCGCAACTGGTAGAGCTGCTGCCTCTCAGCGAGCAGGTCCCTGGTTCAAACCCCGGTCCAGGGGCCTTTCTGGGTGGAGTTTGCATGTTCTCTCCATGCATGCGTGGGTTTTCTCCGGGTACTCCGGTTTTCTCCCACAGTCCAAAAACATGCATGTTAGGCTGATTGGTAACTCTAAATTGTCCTTAGGTGTGAGTGAGAGAGTGAATGGTTGTTTGTCTCGTTTGTCTCTATGTGTCCCTGTGATGGACTTGCGACCCGTCCAGGGTGTACCCCGCCCCTCGCACAGTGATTGCTGGACATGGGCACCAGCGACCCCCGTGACCCAAAATGGAATAAACGGGTAAAGAAAATGGATGGATGGATGGAAAAGTCTTCCTTCAGGCCACGGTAAGGATTGGCCTAATGATAGTCTGCTTTTTAGTCTTTCATACTAATAAAACCAGTCCTAAAAATGGCATACTGGTGTCAAAGAACACAGCATTAGCTAGTATTAAACTTCTTAAATTTTGCATGACATTGTTTAGTTTGTCATTGCGTTCTGAACCTAACAACATTTGTGCCACTATGGACATGTGTGTGCTGACCCTTTGTGTTTATATTGATAATACTGAGGCTGTAAAGGTTGCAAATGTATCAGCTAGCCTGATGAGCACATCTAGCCATTTCAGTTCCACTCATCTCTCATTGGTCTGGTACATTCACAGCCTCAGCATAAACAGTTTGTTGATGTTCAGCTTACATACATTTGAGAAGTGAAACAGTCATTGCTCTTTTGGGGAAAACAGCAACAAACTCAACAATTAGAGCCTGTAGGAAGTCTTTCTCAAATAATATTATTAACTTACTTTTATGTATATGAATGTTTCTGTTCACTGCCCTGAGACGACTTCTGTTGTGACTTGGTGCTATACAAATAAACTGAATTGAATGCTGCCTTTCTATCCAGGTTCAGTGCACTGTGACTGATGTCGCAGTTGACAAGGTTCTAATTACTGATAACTATCTGACAAAATCTCACTTCCAAAATGACTAGACTATTCTTTTAAAGTTAAAAAGCTTTGTCACTTACGGTAATATTCTTTCTCGACCTTACATGCCTTTCCTGACATGAAGGTATTTGCTTTTTTAGATTTGAAGATCAAATGTCCTTTCTACTTCAGATGCTTTTTAAAATTGGATTTTCTGCTTTTTTTTTTTTTTTTTGTACTGCTTGTTGACACGCATTAAGTTTTTTTGCAAGACAAAAAGGTTTTTCAAAACACTTTGATGCATGCCCACTTTCACTTCATACACTAGAAACCAAAACAACAATGGAGAAATGTTTACAATTTGTCTGTCTCACTTTTTTCTGATCTTTTAAACTTGAACTGTGCTGAAATGGTTAATAACTAAGTGGAAACTGAACAAAATCTAAATCTAAAGCCACTTTCACAAAACATTTCTGCACAATGGCCTCTAAATCAGCCTGTCATTGAAATGCCTCTGACTGTTTATAAGTCATGAATCAAGCCAGATCCATCCTGCATAGATGTGAGCGTTCAGAAATGAAGCTAGCTTCTTCAAAAGAAGGACCAAAAGAAGTGAAGCAGAACTCAGCTGTGTTTATTTGGAGCACTACGCATTACTCGTGTGACAGACGAAGCATGCTCAGTTTAGAAATTCTCTTTGTGGTTCCCCAATTTATTTATTTTTTCTTACCTAAATCTCATTTGCTCTGTCATTATCAATCTTCTTTGTCTGCAGTAATAGATTTATTTGTAGATAAATTGCAGAGCCAGGTTGTGGCACAGACTGTATGTCATCACCTCGTCAGACTATTGAGCTGCAAAGCCACCTTACCTTTTCAACATGTCCACAGTTTCAGCTCCGTTACTACCTCGCTTGGTAGCACAAAGGCGTGGTTTGGCTTTAACTCTTCCACCGCCTCCGTCCATTCAGAATTTAGAGCGGAAGGTGTCGAGGCTTGGTTTAAAATGTTTTGTGAAAGTGCCTTATGATATTTTTGGAAGAATCCTTTATTGACCTATGAATGTTCTTTCTTCATATTAATGCATGCATTCTCACCAGCTAGTGGCACGGCATGGGTATTTCAGTGTTTCTGTCAGAATTTGTGAATGGAGAAAAAAATATTAACCAAGAAAATAATCTAGATTAATGTGAACAGGGTTAAAGTCTAAATTCAGTTGGTTTAAATATATTTAAAAAATGACTCACTTAACTTAAACATAGCAAAAGACCAAAAAACAGTTTTGTTAAACTACATTTGATTATTGCATGTTTTTAAATGTTGCATTTAGATTGCATCATAAATAATGTTTGTGGTAATATATATTTATTTATATTAATAAATACAGAGGTTTTATCTGAACTCTTGAGTATACTTGAGATCTTGAGATGAGTTGGATGTAACTGGGACCCTGTGCACATGATTTCGTCCCACCTCATGCATCACGTGGTGAGAACGGCAATAAACCTACTTGAACTTGAACTTACTGACTACATGAAGGACATAAACCACCAAAGAGCAGGTAATTTAATAAAGTGGATATTACTTTTTAGCCATTATTGCATTTTGCTTTACATATATTGTTACTTGGTGACACAAGTACATAAATATAAACCTTTAAAACCCAGAAAATTTGCTTAATTTCCATTTTAATATTTTTGCATAATTGATACAGATACAAAGAATATTTGTGAACTTTTACAAAATTAATATGATTTTGCTTTTATAAAATGAAATGATTTGTAATAATAAAAAGGAAATATGTTTTTTTTTTAAGTACAGTACAATCACAACCCTTGTAAGAAAAAAAACCCAAAATGCTCAAGTAATAAAAATGGTTAAATAATAAAAAAATTCCAAGATCGTTTTTCAGTAAAAAATTCTTAACGCCAGACATGGAGTGTAGGATGATATGTAACAGATATAAACATGTACCAGAAAAGTGACAACTTTAACTGAAATATCTAGAAAGTATGAGTGTAATCCTAGATGTTTAAAAAAACTGGCTTGTATAATGAAAAAAAAATTATATTTTAAATTCCGCTCTGACGGATATGCATAGTTATTTTCAGGCTCATTCCTTTTTTACTTTGCTTCTGCAAAAAAGTTTCTGACAAAGAACCTTTACTACAAAAATGAAAACAGTAAATACTAGCACAATGACTGCCAGTAGGAATGCCATAACATCTACTGAGTAGTATTGGATTGTGGACATCTTGTAGGACTCTGTCCTCAGATGTGCTGCTCC